GACCACCTCCCAGCACGCCCACCCCCCCAGCACGACCACCCCCCAGCACGACCACCCCCCAGCACGACCACACCCCAGCACGACCACTCCCCAGCACGACCACACCGCCTTGGTTGAGTGGTTGCCTGTCGTCGGGGAATGTTTCGTGGGGTGTCTCGTGGAATGTTTCGCGGGGTGTCTCGTGAAATGATTCGTGAGGTGTCTCGTGGAATGTTTCGTGAGGTGTCTCGTGGGCTGTTTCGTGAGGTGTCTCGTGGGATGTTTCGTGAGGTGTTGCCCAGTTGGGTATCATGAAAACGTGTCCATGCTCCACATGTCTATATCCCTTTCCGGGTTCGTGGGTCCATCATGTTTTTGGACACTGACCCCGCCGATCTGCGTTTGAGAGGTGTGCCGCCGAATTTCAGAAATGTGCGGAAATCCCTTAGTTCCCGAAAAGGGCATGAGCCCAGGGTTCTCTTTAGTGGGTAAACCTGTCCCCCGGTGCCAACTTGAAGGAGGCCGGCGAATTTTTTCCTTGATAAATAACGAGGTCGAAGGAGGCCGGCGAATTAAAATTTGAGGATGTCTCGAGCGAAACGCTTGTTTTTGAAATCCCGATCGATAAATCACAGGGTGCGGGCCACTTTTTCGTGTGTTGAGGATGTCTCGAGCGAAACGCGTGCTCCGCAGAGTTTGCCGAGGATGTCTCGAGCGAAACGCTTGTTTTGCAGAGCCGACCGCGACGCGGAAAAGCGCCCCGCGCGAAGGAATTTCGATGATGTCTCGACTAATTCGTTTGTTTTTGTACGATTTCCTGGAATTTTGGCAGGATGTCTCGAGCGAAATGCACGACCCCACCCTAGCACGACCATACCCAGCACGACCACACCCCAGCACGACCAGACCCCAGCACGACCCCACCCCAGCACGACCCCACCCCAGCACGACCATACCCCAGCACGACCACACCCCAGCACGACCCGGACCCAGCACGCACTACCCCAGGCAAGACCACACCCCAGCACGACCCACACCCAGCACGACCTCACATACCAGCACGGACACGCCCCAGCACGACACGCCCCAGCACGACCACGCCCAGCACGACCACGCCCCAGCACGACCACACCCCAGCACGAACACACCTCAGCACGACCACACCCCAGCACGACCACACCCCAGCACGACCACACCCCAGCACGACCACTCCCCAGCACGACCACACCCCAGCACGACCACACCCCAGCACGACCACACCCCAGCACGACCACACCCCAGCACGACCACACCCCAGCACGACCCGATCGATAAATCACAGGGTGCGGAGCACCCCAGCACGAAACCACCCCAGCACGACCCCACCCCAGCACGACCCCACCCCAGCACGACCACGCCCCAGCATGACCACACCCCAGCACGACCACACCCCAGCACGACCACTCCCCAGCACGACCCCACCCCAGCACGACCCCACCCTAGCACGACCACACCCCAGCACGACCACACCCCAGCACGACCCCACCCCAGCACGAGCACACCCCAGCACGACCCCTCCCCAGCAAGACCACACCCCAGCACGACCGCACCCCAGCACGACCTAACCACAGCACGACCACACCCCAGCACGACCACGCCCCAGCACGACCACGCCCCAGCACGACCACGCCCCAGCACGACCACGCCCCAGCACGACCACGCCCCAGCACGACCACCCCCCAGCACGACCACCCCCAGCACGACCACCCCCCAGCACGACCACCACACCCCAGCACGACCACACCCAGTCGCACCCCCGTGGAATGTTTCGTGGCGTGTCTGGTTGAGTGGTTGCCTGTTCGTGGGGTGTCTCGTGGAATTTTTCGCGGGGTGTCTCGTGAAATGTTTCGTGAGGTGTCTCGTGGAATGTTTCGTGAGGTGTCTCGTGGGCTGTTTCGTGAGGTGTCTCGTGGGATGTTTCGTGAGGTGTTGCCCAGTTGGGTATCATGAAAACGTGTCCATGCTCCACATGTCTATATCCCTTTCCGGGTTCGTGGGTCCATCATGTTTTTGGACACTGACCCCGCCGATCTGCGTGAGGGATGCCGCCGAATTTCAGAAATGTGGCAAATCCCTTTCTGTTTTTGGACACTGACCCCGCCGATCTGCGTGAGGGGTGCCGCCGAATTTCAAACATGTGGCAAATCCCGCGTATTGTTGGACCCTGACCTCGCCGATCTGCGTGAGGGGTGGCCATTTTTACCCACCCCAGCAATTCAGACAACACGCTCAGGGCGTGGTTGAAATGATTGTTTTCGGCCTCCCCCCCTCGCGCGGTCCATCAACAAGGAACGGTAACCAGCAAAATCAACAAGGAACAGCATGCAGCAAGAAGCAGAATTGTAACAGTGGAAACTGGAAGCTGCAACTGGCACAGGAAACTGCGAAGCTTCGGCCTACAGCCTGGTGGCCCCATAAGGGGGCCGGCGGATTTCCAGATGGCTAAAACATGTGTTAAAATTGTGCTAATCAAGAACATGATTTGAACATTTTCAGTACATGTCTCCGACATGTTCAACACATGTTGAATTCGATATAGGACTGTGAGGGTGTCCATTGTCGTGACATCCACAAAACAAGGGCCGCGCCTGGCAGGATTATGGAGTAGAATGTACGTGTGGTGGTGGCGTGCGTGGTGGTGGTGGTAGCGGCGGCGTGTGTATGTGTTTGTGCGTGTGTGCGCGCGCGTGCGTAATGGTTGATGGTGCGCGTGCGTGCGTGCGTGGTGGTATGTGTGTGCGCGTAAATGAGGCGACGCACTGGAATGCGACCACGCGCGACGCAACGCAAGACCATGCACGGCACTGGAGCCGAAACGGCCGCACGCATTGGACTACATCTGGACATTGCGCTTTCGCACAAGGCATTCAGTACCACTGCAACCCCCATTGCGACGCCGCGAAGAACGTAGCCCCCACGCGAGCGCGAAATCAATTTCCGAACACTTCTTCTTGGACTGTAATACGACCCCGCAGGGCAGAGAAAGTGGAGGAGGAGAAGGGGTGAATGAAGATGAGGGGCGGTAAAAGGGGGGGATGTGGCGGGCGGTGATGGCTTGCTCGTCTTTCTCGTTTCCTCCCTCCCTCCTCACCGTTTTTTTGTTTTTGACCCTCCCCTGTTGGGTTTTCGTTTTGATTGGGGCACTGTGGTCTCCACCTCCCCTCCCTCCTCCCGCCTTCCCGCTTTTGTTGCCTCCTCATGCGCTCTTCCCCAGAGATCCGATGTCGTGTTTTTTTCCATACGGGGCCCCTGGAAATTCCGACCCATTCCCCAGGACCAGCTATTCATCTTGAGTCGTCTTTTGACGGTCCCAGGGCCCGGCGAGGGCCACTCGAGGTCGAAAATCGAGGAAAACCTCGGCCTTGATTTTGTCACAACGCATTGGCGGTGTTGGTCCCTGGAGGGCTGGGAGCTGCGCAGCCGTCGCCGCTTTCGTGGGCTCCTGGGTGGTCCAGCGGAGTCGGGGGGCACGCGCAATCATGTGAGACTTCGCCCCGAGAGGCCCCCAAACGGCCCCCAAGAGGCTTCCAAACTGCCTCAGAGAGGCCCCCGAGAAGCCCCCCACTATATCTTAACGAACATCCGCTAGGCATCATCCCCATAATCCAGGCACGGTGGCGGGATGGGCCGAGGACCATCCGATGAGACGATGTATCTGTAGAGGTCGAACTTCAGGTGGCTGAAGAAGGCGTGGTCGTGCTCGAGGAGCCTCCTCCTCCTCCTCCTCCTCCTCCTCCTCCTCCTCCTCCTCCCGGTCCTTTCCTCCCTCCTTCTCCTCCCCTTCCCCCTCCTCCTCTCCTCTCCTCCTCCTCCTCCTACTCCTCCTCTCTCCTCCTCCTCCTCATCCTCCTCCTTCCTCCTCCTCCTCCTCCTCCTCTCCTACCTCCTCCCCTCCTCCTCCTCCCCCACCTCCTCCCTCCTCCTCTCCCTCCTCTCCTCCCCACCTCCCCTCCTCAGCCTCCCTCCTTCCTCTTCTCCTTATCGTGGCCGGACTGGCTCGGTCTCGCAGGGACTCCCCCCGCGCCCGCCGCCCCGGGGGCGCCCGCCCGACCGCCGGCGCGCGCCGGAGCGGGCGCGGCCTGGCGCCGCCAGGGGCTGGCGCGGGCATGGGCCAGGCGCGTCACGGTGTCCTCCGCCTCGTCCTCCTCCTCCTCCTCCTCCTCCTCTTCCTCCTCATACTCCTCCTCCTCCTCCTTCTTCTCCTCCCCCTCCCACTCCCACTCCTCCTCCCCTCGCCTCCTCCTCCTCCTCCTGCACATCCTCCTCCTCGTCCTCTTCCTCCTCCTGCTTCTGCTCCTCCTCCTCCAGTTCCTACTCCTCCTCCTGCTCCTCCTCCTCCTCCTCCTCTCGCTCCTCCTTCGGGTGGATCGCAGACGGGGGTCCTGAGGGATGTGGTGCTACGGACCCGGTGCTTCAAACACTAACAATCCACCCTTGAATCTATTCCTACCACCAGGACCCCCTCTCCTTCTTGAACCACCGATCCTCCGCCTCCCCAGACCCCACTCGCGGTGTGACAAAAATGCTGGACGGGGGGGCTTTTCTCGCTATGTTCGGCCTCATGGGGGCCCTTCCTGGGCCTCGGGGCCGTCAATCAGCGACTCGGGATGAAGAGCTGCTCCCAGGGAAGGGGTCCAGACCTCTGCGGGTCGACGCTGTGAAAGGATCGCGGCGTCGGGGGTCTGGGTCCTCCGCCTCCTTCGCCTCCCCCCCCCTCGGCGGCGAGCGATGGGGGGGGGAGGTGGCGGGGCGTCTCAGAAGCTCTCCAGCCTTCTGCCTCGTGAAGAGGGGACCCTGCGTCGTCGGGGAAGGCCTGGGAGACCTTCCGGAGGGCGGGGGGGGGCCTTCGGAGCCTTTTGGCTTGGCAGCGGACGCCTGCAGTGTCTTTCGGCGAGGTCCATCGAGGGGCATCTAGGATCCTCGTGCCAAAAGCAAGCGCACGAGGCCGAAGCATGCACGGGGAATGGGCGTCCGAGCGACGGCGAGTTGAGAGGACCCGCCCCTTCCCACCGGGGCTCGCCGCCGACTCCTGCTCTTCTTGTGAAGTGGTACCTCAGCATCGTTTAACCGATCCCTATCCCCTTCCCCATCCTCGTCCAGATCCCCACCATCCCACCACCCCAGTTTGGGAAGGAATAGCCTATATCCCCATCTAGGGGGACAAATCGGCCAGCGTGGCCCAGACCACACGAGTTGGGATAGGGGTCGGTTAAACGATGTTCAGTACCGATATGTTCCGGTAGGCGTCGCTGCGCCTTTTCAGAGGCGGGTGTAGGCCCATGCAACTTGCACGAGCGCCACCAGTACGCAGTGCTCTGGTTGTCGAGGGACCTCCTCCTCCTCCTCCTCCTCCTCGAGGAGCCTTCTTCTCCTCCTTCTCCTCCTCGAGGGGCCTCCCCCTCCTCCTCGAGGAGCTTCTTCCTCTTCCTCCTCCTTCTCCTCCTCCTCCTCCTCCTCCTCATCCTCATCCTCTTTCTCCTCTCTCTCTCTCTCTCTCCCCCCCCCACCCCCCCCTCCCCCATCGTCTCCTCCTCCTTCCTCCTCCTCCTCCTCCTCCTCCTCCTCCTTCTCCTCGTTCTCATTCCCCTCCTCCTCCTGCTCCTCCTCCTTCTGCCCTCCTCCTCCTCCTCCTCCTGCTCCTCCCCCTCCTCCCCCTCTCCTCCTTCTCCTCCTCCTCCTCTTCCTCCTCCTTCTCCTTCTCCTGCTCCTCCTCGTCCAGCTCCTTCTCCTACTCCGAAGAAAGGCCTTCGGGTGAGTGTCGGTAGGTGGGTTGCCCCGTCGGTGGGACGCGTCCGACATGCATAATTCAAGGGAGGGCTGACGAGAACTGGGAGAAGGAGGAGGAGGAGGAGGAGGAGGAGGAGGAGTCGGTTCTGGCTCAGGCGGCGGCAGGCACCGAATCGCGGCGCGCCTCGGGTCCGTGCGAGGAGGAGGAGGAGGAGGAGGAGGAGGAGGAGGCGTATAACATTGGAGGAGGAGGAGGCGG